CCGTCCACCTCGGGTCTTGTACAACACGAACCCATGCCCACTGTTTTCTGCCTCTCACTCGGCGTCTTGGCTACAACCGTACGAACCCATAGCCACTGTTCTGCCTCTCACTCGCGGTCTGTACAACCACGAAACCCATGCCCACTGTTCTGCCTCTCACTCGGTCTTGTACAACACGAACCCATGCCACTGTTCTGCTCTCACTCGGCGTCTTGATACAACCATGAACCCATGCACTGTTTCTGCCTCTCACTCGGGTCTTGTACAAACACGAACCCATGCCACTGTTCTGCCTCTCACTCGGTACTTGTACAACCACGAAACCCATGCCACGTGGGTTCTGCCTCTCATCGGGTCTTGTACAACCGAAACCATCGCCACCTGTTCTGCCTTCTCACTCGGTCTTGTACAACACGAACCATGCACTGTTCTGCCTCTACTCGGGTCTTGACAACTACGAACCCATGAGCACTGTTTCTGCCTCCTCCACTCGGGTCTTGTACAACCCGAACCCATGCCACTGCTTCTGCCTCTCACTCGCGGTGCCTTGTTACAACCACGAACCCATGCCACTGTTTCTGCCTCTACACTCGGGTCTTGTAACACATCACGAACCCATGCCTTGCTTCTGCTCTCACTCGGGTCTTGTACAACCACGAACCCGATTGCCAGCTGTTATCCTTACCCTGCGTTATAGGCTACCTTGTTCTTACAGCTCGGGAGGGGGTGTTTACAAATAGTAAACTTAATAAACAGGATAATAGGGAATATAATGCTGGCTACGGGCCTGTTTAATATAGCATTTGAACGGCATTACGTGTGCAGTAGTGCAGGCCTGCGGAAATTGTACGCGGGCTATAGTACTAGAGGAGGGAGAGAAAGAGGGAAAAAGAGAGGGAGAGAGAACAGAAGGGAACGAACCCCCCCCCCTTTAAATGTTGGCAATTTGTGAGGGCGCGAAGCGACCGAACGAGGGAGCATAGCGACCGAGCAATGGAAGGGTGTGTGTGTGTGTGGGGGGGGGTTCCCCCTCCCACACGATAGAGATTTTGCAATTATTACACTAAAATGGAGCGATCTGGTGCATACTGAGGTAAAATTCATGCAAATTTTTAAATGGGAAATTTTTCATTTTCATTTTTTGCTTGGGGGTGGGATGTGCAAATCCCCCGAACCCCCCTGGCTACGGGCCTGTATGTACACACTATCAACGATCATCTATGCTATAAATGTGCACACTAACAATGATCATCTATGCTATAAATGTACACACTATCAATGATCATCTATGCTATAATTGTATACACACTAACAATGATCATCTATGCTATAAATGTACGCACTAACAATGATCATCTATGCTATAAATGTACACACTAACAATGATCATCTATGCTATAAATGTACACACTATCAATGATCATCTATGCTATAAATGTGCACACTAACAATGATCATCTATGCTATAAATGTATACACACTAACAGTGATCATCTATGCTATAAATGTACGCATTAACAATGACCATCTATGCTATAAATTTACACACTAACAATGATCATCTATGCTATAAATGTACGCACTATCAATGATCATCTATTCTATAAATGTGCGTACTAACAATGATCATCTATGCTATAAATGTACACACTATCAATGATCATCTATGCTATAAATGTGCACACTAACAATGATCATCTATGCCATAAATGTACACACTAACAATGAGCATCTATGCTATAAATGTACGTACTAACAATGATCATCTATGCTATAAATGTACATACTAACAATGCTCATCTATGCTATAAATGTACGCACTAACAATGATCATCTATGCTATAAATGTACATACTAACAATAATCATCTATGCTATAAATGTATACACACTAACAATGATTATCTATGCTATAAATGTACACACTAATAATGATCATCTATGCTATAAATGTACGTACTAACATTGATCATCTATGCTATAAATGTACGCACTAATAATGATTATCTATGCTATAAATGTACATACTAACATGCAATGATCATCTATGCTATGAATGTACGTACTAACAATGATCATCTATGCTATAAATGTACGCACTAACATTGATCATCTATGCTATAAATGTACATACTAACAATCATCATCTATGCTATAAATGTACGTACTAACAATGATTATCTATGCAATAAATTTACGCACTAACAATGATCATCTATGCTATAAATGTACATACTAACAATGATCATATATGCTATAAATGTACGCACTAACAATGATCATCTATGCTATAAATGTACGCACTAACAATGCTCATCTATGCTATAAATGTACACACTATCAATGATCATCTATGCTATAAATGTACACACTAACAATGATTATCTATGCTATAAATGTACACACTAACAATGATCATCTATGCTATAAATGTACATACTAACAATGATTATCTATGATATAAATGTACGCACTAACAATGATCATCTATGCTATAAATGTACACACTAACAATGATCATCTATGCTATAAATGTACGCACTAACAATGATCATCTATGCTATAAATGTACGCACTAACAATGCTCATCTATGCTATAAATGTACACACTAACAATGATCATCTATGCTATGAATGCACGCACTAACAATGATCATTTATGCTATAAATGTATACACTAACAATGATCATCTATGCTATAAATGTACACACTAACAATGATCATCTATGCTATAAATGTACACACTAACAATGATCATCTATGCTATAATTGTACGCACTAACAATGCTTATCTATGCTATAAATGTGCACACTAACAATGACCATCTATGCTATAAATGTACACACTATCAATGATCATCTATTTATAGCATAGATGATCATTGTTAGTGCGTACATTTATAGCATGATCATTCTTAGTGTGTATACATTTATAGCATAGATGATCATTGTTAGTGTATACATTTATAGCATAGATGGTCATTCTTAATGTGTACATTTATAGCATAGATGGTCATTCTTAGTGTGTGTAGCTATGCTATAAATGTATACACACTAAGAATGATCATCTGTGCTATAAATGTACACGGCGGTGATTCTTCCTGTACGTTTACGTTACGATGGGAACTTGCGTCAATGGAGACGCAGGTAAATATACTTGTCTCACTGTTACATGCGTTACCTGTCCGCGCGACCAAGACATAGACATGACGGGACTATAATATATATACGGCCTGTGTCATATAGTCCCGTGATGTCTATGTCTTGGTATATATTGGTCATGAATATATGTATATAATATATATACATAATTACTCTAATATTATTATAATTATAATATTATGTAGTATTATAGTAAAGTATTGAAGTATAGTATCTAAAACAAGGGAAGATAGCACATAACTTAAGCGTCCTATATACAGATCGTCATACGAGCAATGTGGATCAGTATTACCCCTCAAGCGAGACAGATGACGTCGTGATAACAAGACAGACGATATCTCATTGATATAACCGCATTCATGTTGCGTGCGGCAGTCTACAGTAACCCATCACACGCCGTGACGATTTCTCACAACTACAGCCAAACGTTTAACTGCGATGTTATTTTTTTATATAAAAATCACTTCTACGTTTTCAATATTTGGGATCATTCTCGTTATTATTTTCGTCGACACCTTAAAGGACGAAACTATAAGCAAATTAATATACAACGACACAAAAATCGCTAGACCCGAACAGAAATAATCATTATTTCGCGTCATCCGGTGTTATTAGTTGCACTAGCGTGCAGACGAGTAGTAACGGACGCGTTCATAACGACGGCTCAATGCTGCCGCGTGAGATTTACCGGCGAAACATAAAAGAACATGCCATTCGCTCTCGGTACTAAATTTGGGTGATAACTGCAGATAGACGGGCAGGTATCAGCGGCGAACAAACACGGAATTTTCTCCGCGAAAGTCGCCGTGGATTTTTATTAATGTGTGTCTAGGATTTACGCGAAGTGAAACGGTTCGCCGATTTTTTGTTGACAGTTGAGGGAGCAATGTGTGTGTGTGTGTGTGTGTGTGTGTGTGTGTGTGTGTGTGTGTGTGTGTGTGTGTGTGTGTGTGTGTGTATTTGTGTATGTGTTTGTGTGTGTGTATTGTATGTGTTTGTTTGTTTGTTTGTTTGTTAGTTTGTGTGTGTGTGCGTATGTGTTTATATGTATGTGCGTGTGTGTTTATATGTATGTGCGGGTGTGTGTGCGTGCGGGTGTGTGTGTGTATGTGCGGGTGTATGTGTGCGTACGGGTGTGCGTGCGTGCGGGTGTGCGTGCGGGTATGTGTGTTCGTGTGGGGGTGTGTGCGTGCGGGTGTGTGTGTATGTGCGGGTGTATGTGTGCGTGCGGGTGTGCGCGCCGGCGGGTGTGCATGCGTGCGGGTGTGCGTGCGAGTGTGTGTGCGTGCGGGTGTGTGTATGGGCGGGTGTATGTGTGCGTACGGTTGTGCATGCGTGCGGGTGTGCGTGCGTGCGGGTGTGTGTTTGTGTGTTTGTGTGTGTGCGTACGGTTGTGCATGCGTGCGGGTGTGCGTGCGTGCGGGTGTGTGTTTGTGTGTTTGTGTGTGTGCGTACGGTTGT